TGATTTACAGGACAAGATAGATTTTTCTTTGTTGTTTTTCCCTTAATTCTACCAATATTTACTCGTTGTATGAGCTATGATAAAAAAAAAATATGGTGAATGTTTACATTTTAAAAAAATTACAGTAAAAGACACATTACCATTAATCCCATTAAAATACTCCCTCTCACTTCGAACACACTTATCCCATCGTTCTTGCCACTTTCTGAAGTAGTTCTAGAAGTCCTCTTTCATGAGTATCTTTAATTGAGCTGTTGTGGCTGCCTATGGACACTCACGAAAAAGGACTTCCAGAACTGCTTCAGAAAGTGGCAAGAACGATGGGATAAGTGTGTTCAAAGTGAGAGGGGGGGGAGTATTTTGAGGGGGGATTAATGACAATATGTCTTTTACTATAATAAATATTTTTAATTTAAACATTCACTGTAGTTTTTGATCACACCTCGTATTCCATTCTCAATGTTGATAATTTGTGTCTTGTCCTCTTTTTATCTTGATCAACGTAGGTGGAGGTTTATCAATCAATTTTATTGATCTTTTCATAAACTAGCTTTGGCGTTACATTTTTTTCTTGGTCTAGTTTTTCATTAATTGATTTTTCCTCTTAATTATTTCTTTGCATCTCCTGTGTTTTAATATATTATGAATGTATCTTTCTAGCTTTTTAAAATGAAACTTAGCTCATTGTTTTGACCTACCTGATTTTCTAATTAAACATTTAAAGCTATACATTTTCTTCTGTGGTCTGCTTTAGCTGTTCCTCAAAACATTTTAAATATTTTATTTCTATAATCATTTAGTTCAAAATATATTTTAATTTTCTTTTTCATTGAATTTTGATCTATAGTTACTTAGAAATATGTGTGTTGATTTGAAGATATTTGGAGTTTTTCTAGATATCTTTTTATTATTAAAGTCTAATTGAATTCCATTGTAATTTAAGAATGTATTGTATACAATTTTAATGCTTTGAATACATTGAGACTTGTTTTTTGGATTAGCATATGGTTTATCTTAGTGCACATTCTAGATGCACTAAAAAAGGAATGTATTCTGGAATTGTATGATATAATCAAATTAAGCTGGTTGATGAGCTTGTTCAGATTTTTTATTTTCTTAATGATTTTTTCTCTTTAGTTCTTCTGTCAATTACTAAGAAATGTATGATAAAAAATTCTCCAAATATAATTTATCTCTTTCCTTAGTTCTTTCAATTTTGCTTTAAACAGAAATTCAAAGAAAAAAATAATTCAGTCACATACATACATACATAAATACTATGTATTAATACATATATATACAATCACATTGTTTTATAATTTCCCATATATTTATCATTATTTATATTTTTTATTCCTTCTTGTAAGTACAAGTTACTGTTGTGTCTTTTTTTTTTTTTAGCCTTTAGTGACCTTTAATACAAGTCTGCTATCCATGAATTGCCTCAGCTTTTGCTTATCTAAAATTAGTATTTTACATCATTTTTTATTATGTTTTTCAAACTTACATCTTTTGGTTAAGTTGGGTTTGTTTTTCAACTCTTTGAATATAGTCATTTCTCCCAGCCTTCCTTGTTTCTGGTGAGAAGTCAATTGTTTATTGTATTATGTGCCCTCGTTATGTCATATGTTATTTTCTCCTGCTTCTTCCAAGGTTTACTTTTTTTTTTTAATTCATTGGGGTGACATTGATTAGTAAAATCATATAGGTTTCAAGTGTACAATTCTATAATAATTCATCTGTATGTTGAATTCTGTGTTCACCACCCCAAGTTAGTTCTCCTTCCATCACCATATTTTTACCCCCTTTATGCTCATCTACCACCTGCTCTCCACCCTTATCCTCTGGTAACCACTAAACTGTTGTCTATGTCTATGAGTCTTTGTTTGTTTTTCTTGTTCATTTGTTGCTTTCAGTTTTATATCCCACATGAGTGAAATCATATGGCTCTCAACTTTTTTCTGTCTGACTTATTTTGCTTAGCATGATAATCTCAGAATCCATCTATGTTGTCACAAATGGCAGTATTTCACAAGATTTACTCTTTATCTGTGGGATTCAGCAATTTAACTATGATGATCTTAGATTTGGGTTTTTTTCACATTTATTCTGGTTATTTTCTTCACATTTATCTAGTGTTTCTTGGATCTATAACTGAATATTTTCATCAAATTTGGGAAATTTTTGGCTACCACTTCTTTAAGTATTGTTTCTGCCTCATTCTGTCTCTCAGTGTCTAGGACTCCAATTAAACATTTGTTGGACTTCTCTATATTGGTCCACATGTGTTTGGAGTTCTGTTCAATTTTCTTACTTTTCTCTGTTCTTCAGATTGCATAATTTCTGTTGATCTGCCTTAAAGTTTATAATTTTTTTCCTTCCTCCATCTTTAACTATTCATGAGATCACCATGGAATATTTTTCATTTAAGGACTCGTGATTTTCAGCTCTAAATATTCTACCTGGTTCATTTTTATAGTTTTCACTTCTCTGTTTATATTTTTTCTATTTACTTATTGATACCATAGTTTCCTTTAATACTTTGAGTACACTTTTCTTTAACTCTTTGAACATATGTATAATAGCTGCTTTGAAGTCTTTAAATCCCACTTTTGAGCCCATTTGGACTCAGTTTCTATAGGCAGTGTTTTCCTTAGTGTGGGTCATATTCGGTAATTTGTGGTTAAATCTGAACTTTGTAAATAATGCATTATAATGACTCTGAATTCAGTTATGTTTTTCTGAGTATTTCTAATTTTTTGTTTCAATAGTTAACTTGCCAGGGTTTAAATTGTTAACTCTCACTTCAGTATACTATACTGCAGATAATATTTCTGCCCTATTTTTCCAGTTTTCACATTCCTTTTTTTAACCTGGTCGCTCCAGGTTGTCCCGTGCCATCACAAAGGTTATTCAACAGCCAAATATTTGCACAAAATTTATACTCAGATTTTGGGGCTCACACTCTCTATGATCTTCAACCCTTAGTTCTGTCCTTTGAGATCTCAAGTCAATAGACTTCAGCTTTCTATTATACGTACAATACTCTGCTCTCAGGTTAGGAAAAGCTCACCTTCAAAGGAGCTGCAAATTTGCAAATCTCACATGATAAAGTCTTTCAACTTTATCCTATTCTCTTTTTCCTGCTTGCTGTCCAACTCATGCGTAGCTTAGTGGTCAACCAGAGATTTGAGCACAGTTGATAAAACTTTCTGGAACTCTCTTCCAGAAATTTTCCCCTAAGCGTTCAGCTGTTTCAACAATACTGAACCCTGTGTTCTGCCACCTCAACCTGGAAAGCATGTGATACAGTGCCTCCAGAGTTAAGGGAGGTTAGGAACGCTTAGGCAAAAAAAGCCACAACCTTGAAATTCTTACATGTCATGATCACTCTTTCAAAAGGAAACTGCTGTGATTGTTGCCTGCTTTTGATTGTTTTCCAATGCCTTCAAATAATTAGTTTTTAATGATATTTTATCCAGGTTTTGTAATTATAGCTGCAAGAGATTTTGCACAGTGAAACATTAGCACAAGTTCAAACTTCCTTAGGAATATTTTTTAATAGTGTGATTTTTACAACTATTAGTGATAGATGGCAAAGTATAGGAATTCAGTTACCATATTTTGCTGTTTATAATGTGCACTTTTTTTGCCCAAATTTGTGAGGGAAAAATAAGGATGTGCATTATACATGGGTAGTACTAATTCCATATCTATAAATGTTTTTAATTCTTTTATTTATTCTTATGAGTTAAAAGTGTAACTCTATAAATTAATAATGATATCCATATGCAAAATAATATCCTGGAATACAATAATCGGTTTTGTTGAACTTATGATGAACTTGCAACGACAGAGTTCTTGGCCCTCTATGATGCATAAATATCATAAATTTGTTACCAGTACATAAAATTTCTTGTATCTTGTATCTGTTCTTGTGTTTTATAATTATTTGCTACATAAAATTTCTTGTGCCATAATGTGTTATAAAATAAATGCTAAAATTCCTTTATATACAAAGAAACAAGTACCTAAATGTAAACAAATAAAAATTTGAATTAAAAAATTAAAACAAAATATTTTTTCCCTGAAAGTTTGGGCAAAAAACATAGGTGCACAATGTATGCGTACATGGGAGCACATTATACATGGCAAAATATGGTAGTATTTATTGAATAAATTAATTATGGTTACTCTCTTTTTAGATAATGCAATAAATGTACCTTTGTCTCTTGTTGTGTTCAAAATATTAAGGAAAAAGAAAGGTGATATAAAAGTGTAGGCATGTAGCTTATCAGTAATTTTAAGAAAATAAAAATATATTCAAGTTGTCATTCTGTCACAGAATCTCAAAAATATAACACATTTTTATCTAAGAAACCTGAGTCATCATTTCTTCATTAAAATTCAGAAAGAAGGAAGGATAAGGGAATAGTAAAAGGTAAAAGGATTATGTATATGGAAAACATTTAGTACAAATTTAGTAACTATCAAATTTAAATCTTTGATTTTAAATTATTGCTGAATTTAAAACGCAAAACCAGAATGTAGGAATAATACTGTTTTTACAAATATAAATATTAATCGTCAGGCTACATACACTAAGTGCTTTATTATTATGACGTGAAAGAAATGAGGTGTGAGTTTATAAACTGGTTGGTTGGTAGTAACGCCCATTTTAAAGGTGCTGTGCCTGAGAAAATCATAGTAAAGAAAAAAAATTCTGATTCCTTTGATATAATCATACATAACCCTGTAAATTTTGTAGCTAATAGAGGTGGTATAGTAGGTGGAAAATGATTTGGAACCAGAAAGACTCTGGAAAGTATCTGCTTCCCACTGACTACCTAGATAAATCGCTTAGCCTATCTAACTGTACCTCTGGAAGACATAATTATTGCCCCACCTCATATACTTGTTTTAAGGAGAAAAAATTATAAAACTGGCTGAGTATGCTTGTTAATATGGTAGGATTCTGACTTTTTTTTTTTTTTTTACAGAGGAAGATAAATATAATATTTATTCTCCTTTGCTCTTCAAGTATTTCCTGGCAGAAGGAGTCATCAACAGACATACTTTGTTGGTTGCTTCTGCAAAAGAAGACCCTGCTGATATTATACAGGTATAGAATATGGTATACTGTATATATTCAATATTGCATTATGAACATTTTATGAAAAAATGTTTATATATGTAAATGAGATAATATGTTTGTATATATATAAATTATGTTTAAATGCCCTAATGGGACATACATTTTTTTTTCTCAAAGAAAAGTATCAAACTTATTTAAGCATATAGTTACATTTTTAAATTAGTGTTATTGGACAATTTTTTTAAGTTAAAACTTATGTCAGAAATGGGGAAAATATGAATAAGCTATTAAAAACTGACAATAAATAAAGTTATTATAGTCGTGATAAAGAACTCTATAAAAAGTTAGGTAAAGACAAACAACTACAGAATATAATTAGATATTATATTACCAGTATCCCAAAGGTATAAATCAGAAGAAAGATACAGAAATTAGAAGTACTCATTTATTAATACTATTTCGCTTTGAGAATGCCAGAAATTATTCCCTTCTCAGCACTATGCAATAATAAAATATGGGACTGAGATAGTATATCTATTTTTTTTAAAGGTTTTATTGGGGAATTGGGGAAGGGGGAGATAGTATATCTTTTTTAAGCCAAAGCTCGCTTTTACCTCAGAGAGGACAATTCTGACTTTCAGAATTCTTAATTTCTTTGTCCAAAACAGAAACTCAATTTAAGCTATTATTTGAGTAGAATTCAGAATCTAAAATTATTTTTCCCCATAAGATTTTTCATTTCTGTGCATAGTCTACAAAATGGTAAATGACTAAGTCATTTATAAATAATTTATAGCATAATAAATACTAATTTACAGCAACTATCAACAAACACAAACAAACTTCTATACCGTGCATAAAAGTTACCCTAATACTAAGGTCAAAACTAACATGATTTTTTATGTGGATCACACTCTGCTTATTAAATAATACTGTCATAAAATCCCAAGGAGAACTCTTTGTATAATTTTCCAAATAATTGCCTTCATTCTTTTTTTTTAGTTATTATTATTATTATTATTATTTTTATTGGGGAACAGCGTGTTTTTCCAGGACCTATCAGCTCCAAGTCAAGTAGTTGTTTCAATCCAGTTGTGGAGGGTGCAGCTCAGTGGCCCATGCGGGGATTGAACCGGCAACCTTGGTGTTATGAGCCTGCACTCCAACCAACTGAGCTAACCAGCCGCCCCATGACTTCTTTCATTCTTATTTCTGCTGTTTAGCTTTCCTGATATTTTCCTGATGTTTTTGGTTTTTTTGTTCCGTTTTCCTGGCCTTAATCTTTTTGGTCAATTTCTGCACAATGCTGTACTTGCTAGAAGCAGTAGAGTAGGCCAAAATCATTGTTGTAAAGAAGCTATACAAGTTCACAGCACATTCCACACCAGACTGAGACTATGATGCTATATCAAACATTTTTGCAGCCATATAGAAAATAAGACTACTTACCAGGCCAGAAGCAAGAAGGCCTTTTTTTGCTTTTTAAAATAAGTTGTTTTATTTTACCTTCTTGCCTCCTCCAACCTAGACAACCGATGTTAAACACTAATATATACTTCCACATTTTGCTTTAGAGAACTACATTTTTTTTATTTAAAAGCTAATTCCTGACACCTTTCTTAGGTACCTTGAATTCTTGCAAGTTACTATTAAAATCATACTGTACTTTACATGTCCTTTGGATTATGTGAAGGATTTTTTTGAAGTTATAAAAGAAATATTACCTTTTCATCAGGCTTTCTTAAAATATTTGGCCATCTATGCAAGTAATTAGATTCTGCAAACATTTATTCATAGATAAATTTTATGGTATAGTAGAAAAAATACAAAAGTAGAATAAGAAAACATACAAAAAGTTGCACATCTGACCAACACTAATTAATAAGGTCCAACGACAGTGTTTAGTTCATTGATGATCACACAGTAAAGGACAGTGGTTCCTGAGATATGCTCTGTAACTTTCCTGGCTTACTGCATGCAAGGTTTCCAGACAACTTTAGGAGACAAAACCAGGAGTGCCCAATTATGACCTTGTTATTATCGTCATCTGGAGCCTAAGTATGGTTTAAGGAGATAAGTGTGGGTGCCAAGTTGACAAGGGTGGTCTTGTGATGGTTAATTATATGCGTCAACTTGACTGGGCCATACGCTGTCCAGATATTTGATCAAACATTATTTTGGCTGTACCTATGAGGGTATTTTTGATTGATCTACAAAACATAAAATTTGTAGACTAAGTAAAGCAGATTGTCCTACCTGAAGTTAGTGTGCCTCATCCAATCATTTGAAGGCCCAAATAAAACAAAACGGCTGACCTAGTCCTGTGTAGGAAAGAATCCCTACCTGTTTGATTGCCATTGAACTTGGACATCTGCTTTTTCCTGCCTTTGAATTGAAACTGAAACGTCAGCTCTTCCTGAGTCTTGAACCTGTCAGCCTTTGGATTAGAACTACACTGTTAGTTCTCCTGATTCTAAAGCCTTTAGATTCAGACAGGAATTACACCATCAGCCCTTCTGCGTCTCCAGCTTGCTGACTCACTCAGCAGATCTGGGGTCTTTTGTCAGCCTCTGTAATTATGTGAACCAATTCCTTGTAATAAATGTTATTTTAATATATATATATATATATGCACATATGTGTGTATATGTGTGTATATATCTGTGTAGATCACAATTTATATATATTTCCTTATGTATGCATCATAAGTACATTTTTTTAAATGCATACATTTTTATATATATTTATGCGTGTGTGTATTATATTTATACACACACACACATGCACATATACATCCTATTGGTTTCTCTGGAGAACTCTAATGCAATTTTACTGAAAAAATAAAAATTACATTTAAAAGCAACATAAGGAATTTCACCTTTATTTATTAATATCCATTAAAAGATCATCACCTCACATCCTATATCTTGGCCAATTTTCCAGGTAGTAAAATACAATGATCTTCCCACCTTTTTGTTTTCATATTTCTAAAAATAGTTTTCAACTATGTATCTACTTGTACACTATGTTATCTGAGAATTAGTTATGAGATTATTTACTTGCAAAGGGTTTTATTGTAAATATTGCCTTTTTAAAGACTTTTATATCAGTCTTCTAAGTGTATCCAACTGAATCTAAATAACAATTTGATGTCAGCACCCTTATTTTTAGAAGTAAATACATAAGCAAGCTCTTCTTTAATATCTGGAAATTTTACATCACTCCTTTTTTCCTTGAATTCATATTTTCTCTTCCAGTCCTCATAGGACTTTGTCTGAATGTAATATTTTATATTCAAAATATTTATTAATAACCATATGATGGTTTTCCTATAACAAAAAAATTTGTATTTAAATTTATTTTAAACTTATCTCAAAAGACTGTTAAAAACATTATTTCTCAATTCAGTTATTACAATTAATGTTGCATGCAGTGTATCAATAGACAAAAACATTTCACACTGCATTGCTGTATTAAGACATATCAGTGGATAAATATTGCTAGAATGGGACAGGATTCAGCATCTATTCATATTTTTCATTTTTGCAGATTGAGCTATTCATAATTAAGTAAAAGGGAATAGAAAGAGTTTTGTTATTGCAGTGTCCCTCAGTTTTTAAACTTTTCTGTGTAATATACACAAACATCACACAATGTCATCATAAATTATTTTAAAGTATTTTAAAATTTTGCTAAAAACAATGAAAAAGAATGATTTCCCCAATTGTTAGAGCATTCATATTTTCTGTACCAGATAGGTATCTTGAATTGTCTCTTTGGCACCCTGGAGATTTTTATACCAAGGCATTGAGAAGTAAATCTTTCATTTGTAAAGTGAGAAAAGGGTGATTTGAAAGGGGAAGTGGGAAGGGGAACCTGCAATGGCTCATTCTTTAGGACGGCAGTTTCTTCTCAGAGTATTTGTGAAAGTTGAAGTTCAAGGAGTTGATTCCTTTAAACTTTCATAATCATTTACCTCTTTGTAAGTCTTCATATACCCCATAATATAGACTCCCAGTTTATTTGTTGTTCTTTTTTTTTTAAAGATTTTTATTGGGGAATTGAGGGATAAGAACAGCGCTGGGGAATTGGGGGAAGGGGAACAGACAAGTTGCTGTTGTTTTGTTCTTCAGTCTAGTTGTGGAGGACGTCGCTTCACTGGCCCAAGTTGGCACCATCATTGCGCTCTTCCCGGGAGAGGCAGATCAGTCACCAGCCTCTGGACAGCCGCTCACAGCGGCTGCTGGCCGCTCACGCTGGCTGCTGGCTGCACACAGTAGCCCATGGCAACCCACTGCAGCAGGGGCTGCATGCAGCCTATGCCTTCGCCAGTGACTCCCGGCAGCCCAGCTCTAGGTCGAGCTGTTGTTCAGCATCTTTGCTGTGGAGGGCAGTGTCACTGGCCCTCATATGTGGGATCCAAACCGGGGCCCTCTGGTGTCCCAAACCAGCTCTTAACCAACGCACCACTCCGCCGGCCCGAGACTCCCAGTTTTTGACAACTAAAAGTAATGGAAACAAGTAATCTTACCTGATCAATACCCAATGTTTCTAAGTTTAGACTACCATAGGCCTAATATGATTAAATCCAAATATTGATGTAGCCCAATGAATTTGTATTTAAGTCATCTTCAAAGTACATTATTCTAAGTAGTGTAGTGCTAATTATCATTTATTTTGTATCAATTTTAAAACAAGAGTACATTACTTTGGACTTCAAAGATGTAGGAATATTTTTAAGTTACTGCTGCTTCATAAAAAATCCAAATGAGGTTTATCTCAGCCAAAAAAATGTTAAATCAGCCTTTTGAACTTAGAATTTCTTTTATGAAAATTATATCACATTACATGTAAATACAGATTGTCTTATTGGAAGTAAGGAAACGAAAGAAACCATTAGTAATGTTTTCCTATTATCTTAAATATTATTTAAACGATAATTACTTGAAATAAATTCCCATTGACTGATGTACTATGGATGTTTTTCTTCCAAAGAAGTAATGTTGGTTTCCATGTTGACAGATATT